CACAAACTTTTAAGCATCACTGTAGATGGCAATCAAGTAATTACTTTTCATTCAGTTTATCAGCAATAAACTGATTCTCTGCTAAATTGGCTGACAGTCTCTCTATCTCTTCTTATCTTTATCCTTTAGGGCCTAAATCAGTGATAGGTAACACTGAAAATATTTATTTTCCAAAGAAAGAAGCTGTTACTTTTGATCAGGCCAACCCTACATTAATACTGGGTGAGTGTATTTGTAATGACTTCTTAAATGATTCGTGTAAAAAACAATTTTTCTGGCATCTTAGTCCTTAAAAAAAATCATTTAATTCCTTGGTACTTACAAACCTCTTCACTCTAGTTACATGTCTGAGTACAAATATAGAAAAGCTTGATTACACTGAGAATTTATGTTTTTAATAGAATGAAGCTGCTAGTTGCTTCTCATAAAGTGTAAGTATTGCAGGTCAATTTTTTCAAGTGTTGCTTATTTACCCAACAGTGTTCTGCTTTCTCCTATTGGAGAAAAAGTTGGACTGGAGTAATGCTAAATTTGTTGTGTTTGCATCAGGCGTAGTCTTCCCTGGGTAGCAGTTTTGTTATGAGGACGAGCATTAAAAGTACTGCCTCCTTTTTCCTCTCCACATAGCTGAAGACACTGTAGGAGCAGAGCAGTGTTCATCTATGGTGGCAAAAAAGTACAAAGAAGTCTGGTAGCACCTTCTCTGACTACCAGATTTTATGAAAATGGAAGAACTTTTGTGAGTTGCACTCACTTCATCAGATGCATAGAATGGTGCTATTATTATTATTAGATTTTTATCCCATCTTTTTAATATATAACTCAAGGTGGTGAACATACCTAATACTGCTTCCTCCTATTTTCCCCAGAACAACAACCCTGTGAGGTGGGTTGGGCTGAGAAAGAGTGACTGGCCCAAAGTCGCCCAGCTGGCTTTCATGCCTAAGGCAGGACTAGAACTCACAGTCTCCTGGTTTCTAGCCTGGTGCCTTAACCACTAGACCAAACTGGCCCTCTATGCACCTGGAAAAGTGAGCTGCAACTCATGAAAGTTTGTCTCTTTTAATAAAATCTGTTAGTTGGAAAAGGTGCTACCAGACTCCTCCTGATACATAGCTGAAATATTTGTCAAAGGGTGCAAGCAGTGAACTGCACCAGATCAAGTGGACTCTTGTGTGCAAACCAATACAACACAAACCATTTTTGTTCTTGAACCATCAAAGTTAATTTTATGCTACAAAATGAATAGCTTAAGTATTGTAGAAGATAGTTTGGGATATAGTCCTTAAGTCTTCTGAAACAATTGGGTCCCAATAAATCTGGATGAGCGAGCTCATGATATCTTCTCTCACAGTAACATGTTACTTTAGGTGGGCGTTGGAGGGGCACCTATTTGCTGCATTATCACATCTTAGTTTGTGGTTCTGGTATATCAGTTATATTCCAAAGTATAAATTGTAATGGTGGAAATTTGCTTTTCAAAAGCTGTCAGTAGTTTATTACTCTTTACTTGCCTGATCTTATAACTGTTCCAAGTTTTCAGAGTGTTCATAAGACCTTCTAAATTAAGAATGGACATAAAGTTTTAAGATGGTAGAAAGCATCTTGGGGCCATAATACCAAAGTCTGATAATGATAAATTAGTTTAATGAAGATATTCTCATGAACTCAGAACTTCAGAAACTGTTGCATATAAATTCAGTTTTAACCCTATAATCACTTTATTTATATCAGTTTTCGACCGACATAATTTAGCCCAGTAGAGACTGTCCTGACTAGCAGCAATCTTTTCAGATCCTTGTAACTCAGGATGCCAATGCTTGTACTTGGGAACTTTTTAACACAAATCATGTGCTTCTACCACTATTTAATGCAACTTTAAAGCAATTATAAATCTTTTTCAATTACTTTTTATAATTTTCACTTGTATTTCAGTCCTAAATATATTTATTTGAAAATATTTTCTACTGGGTCTAGTTTTCTCTGGTAAGTATGCTTGGGACTACAGCTTGTTCCATAACACCTAAAATGTTTATAAGCTACTTTGGATTAGAAAGTAGGTGACAGAATGTAGATAAATTACTGTTCCAAATCAAAGCAAGTTTATTGCTTGTGGGCAGTTTTGTTGTATGTGGAAATTACTAAAGTTACACCTAATTTGAACATAATGATGGAACTGCAGAATGCAGAACAAGTTATGCATAGATTTAGTATGGTGGGTTTGTTCATACGGCTATCTCCATTTTTAAACCTTATGAAAATTAGTAAAATGTGCTTTATAAACTGATAGTTATTCATTTACATAACTCAGACATACAGGTTGACGTTAAAGAATGCTCACACTAAATAAAGTTTTCTATAGTTTGATCCAATCAGTAGTTACAAGAAAGATAATGCAACATTTTTATAAAAAGGAAGTAAATGCATTGCAGAGATAAGTGCAAACTAATTTCAAATTGTTTCACATTTCCCATGTAGGTAAGATGAAAGAACTAAATGGAAATGTACCTGAAGAACAACGGTTAACAGAAGATGATCTAGATGTTTTAGAAAAGATGCTGTTTATAGTGTGCAGTGCGCCCATGGAAGCACCCACAGCAGAGCAGCTGCAAACTTTGTGGAGAGCGATTAACTGGCCAAATGGTATGCAGTAATTGTTGAGGACAGATCTCACAAATTATATGGACTAAAGGCAGCATCTTAAAATATCTTAATACATCTTTTTAAGTAAGCCATTTTTTTATCCCACACTTACCTTAAATCAGTACACTTAATATTTAAAGTACAGGTAGTCCTCAACTTACAATCATTCATTTAGCGACCGTTCGAAGTTATGATGGTGCTGAAAAAAGTGACTTATGACCGGTCCTCACAGTTATGACCATCACACCATCCCCATGGTCACATGATAAAAATTCAGGCGCTTGGTAACTGGCATGTATTTATAATGGTTGCAATGTCCTGGGGTCATGTGAACACCATTTGCGATCTTCCCAGCTGGCTTCTGACAGGCAGAATCAATGGGGGACCATGTGATTCCCTTAATGACTGCGTGATTCACTTAATGACATGATGATTCACTTAATGACTGCCACAAAATGTGAAATCAGGTGCAGTCATATGATGCCTCACTTAATGACTCCATCACTTAACAATGAATTTTCTGGTCCCTATTGTGGTCGCTAGTTGAGGACTACCTGTATGAGAGTTTTTTATATAGCTACATACATATTCAACATGCTCTTCCCTTTTGGAGTAAGCAACATTACACAGAATATAAAAAAGGAGTAAAAAATAATATGCAAAAGAGATTAAAGGCATGAGAAAGGAGAAAAGAGAATCTAGCTAAAGCTAGTTTACACCAACACCATTCATTATATCTCTTCATACCTCCCTATCCTTACAAACCATCCTTGCTTCTACTATGTCCATATGCTGATTCATACATTGCTTTTTCTTCTTTAAAATTCTTATTTCTCTCTTTTGGAGGATGTCATCTCCATCCAACCATAATTTTTTCAGTCTTTCTCTTCTTCTCAACTCTTCCTCCCTTCCTTCTTCCCTCCCTTCCTAATATTTATAGACAGTCTCAAACATACAAACTCTAGACAGTGTAGACGTAAGATTAAAATCCATACGACATTGCATAAAATGGCCTTTCAGAATCTTCATCCTGAAGCAAAGGTTTATTGAAAAAGAATGGACTTTAGTACCTCCTAAAACATTGGAGGGATAGAAGTCATGTACACCTCCAAGGGCAGCTTCTTACGTATTGTACAGATAATTACCAAAAAGCCTGCCTTCTGGCCTGTACCCCTCCAGTCTTTCTGAAGCTGGAACCTTCAGCAAGCCTTCTATAGATGACCTGACCAGAGTCACATTTAGCGAGGCAGATCCTGATACAGTCTGGCTCCTTGACATATAAGGCAAAAAGATTGGTGTGACTTTACTGTATGTTCCTGATTGGGAATCTGGCCACTACATTTCATACCATTTGTATTTTCCAAGTCCTTGTGTTCAAAGCAAGCCCCATGTAGAATGTATTACAGTTTCCATTCATGGTGATCAAAGCATGAGTTATAGTTGCTGCGACTTCCCTGTCCAGGTGGATATGTAATTGGCACACCAGTTAGAGCTGGGCAAAGCCCCCTGGCCACAGCTTCCACCTTTTACCCCAGCAGGAATTACAGACCCTTCCCAAAGTCATAAGCTGGTTTCATCATGGGGAGTATGACCCCATCTAGAGCAACTACAGTGGTATGTTTCTGATAGAGTTTAATCTGACCTTGAGATGATGATAAATACAAGCTACATAGAAATGTGAATTGCCTTTGGGAATATAATGCACATTTAAAAAATTTGATTATAGTTCTCAAATAGCAGTGGACTCCATAAGCTTTCTTAGAAAGTAAACATGATGGGTAGGTATAAACTGGTGCTTTATTATTGATTATATCTCTATAGTTGCCATTATGTGAATATCCAAGTCTGTCAATCATTTTGTAGAATTGCTTGGCAAAATTCACAGTATATCTACCAGTGCAGAAATTTGGGGATCCATGTACCAGAATGAACCAGAATTGGTTGGCTGGAATTTCAGTATAGATATGCAGTCTAAGTAATTGAGAATGCCCATAACAAAAGCATGTTTATGTTTAGATAATGCTAGTGATTGCTTTCCTCTAGAAAAAAATGTTTGGGGCCTTTTCATTGCCTGTGAATTCTAAGGTTAGGGTAAGTTAAAAAAACAAACAGAAGGCAGCGGTGGCATATCATTTCCGTATTTTTGCCAAGAAAACTATATGGACATGTCCAGAAGGCCACCAGGAGTTACATTTCACTTACAGGAGTTATTTTAATGAGTCACTTGTTTTCTTCCCATTTCATATCTAATCATGTATCCAGTTTTGCAGCTCTGCCTGTCTTCTAACAGCTTCCTTCTCATGAATGATTTATTTGTTTAGCAAATGTGTATAGCCACCCATCTTACAAAATGTGTCTCTTGTTGCAAACAGTTGTTTGTTGTTGCAAACAGTTGTTATAGAGCTCATGTAATTTAGAAAGCTAGAGGTATGAGCCACCTTCTGTAGGCAAGAATGAGCAGGTGGGAGAATTAGTTGGTGGTAGGGTGACGTTAGATTTCCCATTCCTGATATTTGAGAAGAAGTATGTTGCAAGAATGGAAGGGAGCAGTAAAGTTCTGAGGGTTATGATGCTGTGCCCATACTGTATTTTTTAGCTCATATCTAAGCCATCTTTCAGAACTCTCTAATTTTCAAATATTTGGAAAATGTCGTATACTGCTGTATCATCTTTCAGGTAGGTTAGCCTAGACTTTCATAAAAATATCCTGTATTTAGTCCAGTCTTGCAAATGCTGTGACTTTGGCATTAGTACAAAGATCTGTAGTTTAATTTCTAATTAGCCTACTATCTTACTTGTTAAAATCAACCCTCCTACAAGTTGAACTTGACTCCTGCTGACTTCATGGGCGCGTCTCTGTAATTTTCTTGGCAACAGTATGGAGGTGGTTTGCCACAGCTTTCTATGGAATATTTCTTACCTTCCCAGTCTAGCTTACAGTAAGTGTTTCCTGAATAGCTCCAATCTAATAAGATTTTGCTACAATCCAGATTCAGAGTATGTATGGGCACCGCATAACACAGATGCTATGTGCACATCCATGTGCATTTCAAATCATTGTTTCCCTTTTAAATCCAGATTGTCAGACTTCCAGTCAGGCCTGATCCTGCTTAACTTCTGAGCCTAAACAGGGTCATCAGCTTAGACATTCTAAATGGAGTCCCTGTGAATGAGTTTATTTTAACCTCCATTATATTTAGTTTTTCCTTTTTTGCCTGTGGGAATATGAAATGTGTTTCTGAGAAAACCATTTCATTCATAATCTTTGGTGAGGTAATTCTTCTACCCAGCCATTGGAAGAGTAAGAGTTACCAATTTACTGACAATTCTGTAGAATTTCAGAGGATGACCATTAACTGCTTATGTATTTCTGTTTTTAGATATTGTCTTTCCAGCACTAGATATTGTTCGATTAGCAATCAGGCATCCCAGTGTGAATGAAAGCTTCTGTGGTGAAAAGGATGGCCTTCAGTTCTGCAGTTATCTTATCAAATTCCTGAACCCTGGAGGAAAGCAAGCCAATCAGATGCTGGCTCTGCGAATTTTATGCAATTGTTTTATTCACCCAGTTGGGCAAAAGCTCATGATGGCACAGGGGGACTCAGTAATGTCACAGGCAATAGAACTGAAGCTGAGCAGCAATAAGAACATTCACATTGCACTGGCTACGTTGGCTCTGAACTATGCCGTTTGTCTATATAAGAGTAATAACATTGAGGGCAAAGCTCAGTGTTTGTCAGTGATCAGCACAGTCATGGAGGTAGTGCAAGACCTTGAAGCTATTTTTAGACTGCTTGTGGCTCTTGGGACGCTGATCAGTGGCGATTCAAATGCTGTACAATTAGCCAAGTCCCTAGGAGTTGATTCTCAAATTAAGAAGTATTCCTCTGTATCAGAACCAGCTAAAGTAAATGAATGCTGTAGATTTGTTCTTAATTTGCTCTGAACTCCTCCCTTAAAAAAAAAAAGCAAAACACCACCACCACTTGGGAGACTAGGACTATATCAAAGATACACAATTTCGTATTTTACAAAAAAAAAAAATGAATAAATATTGTGGGTAGACTCTCTGGACATGAAATTATCTGAATAAATTTTTTGCACTGATTTAAAATGTGTTATTCAAATCTGTTAAGTGCATGCTTATTTTGAAGGTAATGTTGGTACCTTCTGTAGGTTGGGATTAACAAAATTACTAAAGAAATCTTGATTCACTGAGATGTATGACACTTATATCTAGTGCTGCCTTTCATCAGACAGAAATTACTTGCAGAATGGATTCTTATCCCATCAGGTGCCTCCATTATGGTGAAATCATCTGGAATCAGTTTGTATCTGGAGTAGATCCACAGGGCTGCAAAGAAGAAGGGACTGGAAAGTTCTGTTGAGCAAGCAGAAATATTCTGACTAGCCACTGAGAGAGTTGGAAGAAAAAGTTAACTAGATTTAAGTTTGTATTTTGGAAGAAATTCCAACAATGCATTTTGATATTAGCTCCCTGCTTATTCTGTGAGTGTTTAGATTGTGTGACACTACCAACAGTGGTCCTGATTCTTTATGAAACTGGAGATAAGTCAGAAAGTTGACTTCTACATACAGTAGATGTCTTTTTAACTACTGTTACAGAAAAATCTAGCATGCCAGGAAATATGTCTTTTGTGTTTTCAGGTGTACTGTGGTCTTTTTCATTTTTGGTTGTCTTTCTATAGAATGTTTCTTTAGAATACATATAGTTCTATCTTTCTCTGAATTTAGTGATAACCTTCCCAGTGTTGAGTGCAGTGTTATCTTCAGCCAGCCAGATTTGCAAGAATAATGCTACAAAATATGAGCTGTCTCATTCATATTGATGAGATGCTCATTCTAAAGTCTAAGCCCTTATACCTAAATGTCAGCATTATTTCTTAGTTCCTTATCAGAAACATGCAGCCTCTATGCTTATCATTTCTTGTGGATTTAGAAATGTAGCTGCAATACTAAATATGCAAATAATTATTTCAGTTCTGAATGTTCTCATTTTATTTTAGGAAGTTTCCTTTATAGGAGGTGGTTTCTTATTGAAATGGAAATTATAAATAAATTTTGTGTAAGACCTATCAAGTTTCATAATCAAAGTTTGATTATCTTATTAACAGGATTAATAAGACACAAACAGTAGATTTGTAAACTTATGTTTGGGTTCAGACAATGAGTTAATCCCAAATCAAACAAACTATATTTCATTTTAGCATAAAATGTAGGCTCAGCCATTATGGCTTAGTGCAGGAATACAGCAATTTCTGTGCTGTGCTTGCCTTCCTGTACTCAAACTATCCCCACATTGTATCACTATACAAATGCGATATATTTGTTACAACCAAATTGACTAATTCTGAACGCAGTGAACAAGGCAGTAGTTGAAACTTAAATTATGTAACTGAGAGTCTATATGCTTCCCTAAATTACAGAATAGATTCAATGTATGTAAAGTATCTAAGGAGTGTTCTCAAACTTCTCTTAATTTTCAATGTCATAGGTTAAGCTAGGTGTATACCTAATGCTAAAATATTATTTGTTAAACTACAATTGGTTTGGTTTGCATAACACAGCTGAGCCCATTCAAAATCATGGAGATAATGAAAATGTCAGTGGTTCACCAGATGTATATCTTACTACTTTAGATGGCTGCAGCTCTTCTGTACTGCTTTATGCAATTACCAGCTGTTGTTGAAGAAGACTGGGCTTCTAGCTCTTTATAAATCATAGAAATAAAAGGCCAACACATTATATTCACCTTCCTTCATTTTTAGGGATACCGCTAGTATGGCTACCTTTCTGTATTCATGGTTAAAGCTACAAGTGTCTGCTTTGGCTTGCCAGGGAATTGCCCTATTACCTTGCTGCCAGCTTCACATTCAAAATGTTTCAATATTCTCTGCAAAGAGTTAGTTTTAGAAAGCTGCCAGGGTCAAGAGAGAACATTTGCAGGCAGATGTGTTGGCTCTTCAAGCAGAACAGACCTGAAGGGCCAAAGCAACTGCCTGGAAATACTTCAGTATTGACAGGTGCATTCCTCTCGCCCTCTAAAAATATTTAAATACTGTAGCACCTACAAGAAATGGGCTGGAAACACCGCAGTTTAGAGAGGTCTGTGGGCTGGCATAACTGCAAAATACCATAGATTATTGGAACATTTAAGGCTTCATGTGTTTCTTCCAGTTGAATATCCTGGAACATGATTTCATCTCAACGTCAAAACAAGATCTGAGCAATGAAAGCAGTGGCAACATTTTCATTGTTAATGTAGTGGTTATTAATATTTTTCCAATGAAAAGTAATATTTAAATTTTTAACGCTGGAATCCTTACCAAATCATCAAATCACACGATATATTTGTCTACACACAATTACCATCACAAACAGATCCAGCCATTTTTGGCTCCACTGTGGTATTAAAAGTGTGGCTCCTAGGTTGGATCCTTTTGCTTTCACATTGTTATGGAATCTTTATTAAATCATCAAATCACAGATTATATCTGTCTGCATGCACAATCATGGATCCAAAGTTTTGGCACTATTGTGACACAATAGATGAATCTGAGTCACAAATCCCGTAGAATCAACATCTACATAATTTTCATGGGATCCACAGATCACACCTGACTGCACATAATAAAACGTCACACATCTGAAAGTTTTTGTTGCTATTGTGTTGGAAAAAAGGCATTTGTATCACAGACCTTTTTGATTTTGTATGACTGTTATATGTGGTTTATAGGAAAATACCACCAGGTCGTAGATCACATCCATTTGCCCACAATCACAGATCCAATGATTTCTGATCCTCTTGTGCAAAAAATAGGGATCTGAGGCACTTATCCACACAAATCCATATGATCTTTACATGAGATCCATGTCCACAGTGTGGACTTTTGCTGTTATAGATATGACCATTTTTGGTACTAAAATAGCAACAAAATTGTACAGAAATATGAATCCAAGGTAGGAACCTTATGATTTCACTTGATTTTTACATGGGATTCTCCTGGAGACATGGCAAAACAGAGATGCGTCTATGTAAGATGATCCATAACAATCATAGATACAATGTTCTGTGGCATCATGGCCCAAAAATGTATTCAAAGAAAATTTCCTCTTAATGTCACTTGCTTTTTACCTAATGTTTTATATAACATCACAGATTGTATCTCCCTATGGCCTGAACTAGAAAAGTCACAGATGTGGAAAGTTAAGGAACTTTCATGGTACAGAAATATGAATGTAAAGAATGTTTAGAATATTTATTTTCAAGATCCCTTTGAAATTATATATATACCTGTAGTAAGTGTACAATCATTAAAATAATTGGCCCTGTACTTTCAAGAGCAATCATGGTCCATAATCATACCTCCATGGCAAAGATTATTAGCAACACAACTGAAGGAATGCATTGCCACTGTAGTGTAAAACATGGATCTATTCTTTTTTTTCCAATCAATTTATGTAGCCACCCATCTCACATATGTGACTCTGGGTAGCTTACAAGTTAAAACAAAAAAGACAAAATTCATATAAGCAAAATTAAAAACAATATGATTAAAACTGATTACTCAAAAAACAAACATGCAGAAGAGCACCAACCAACCACTCTCAAACAATGCAGCTATCTTGTAGGCTCCCCGCCTCCATGGGATCCCCAGGCCTGATGGCACAGCCAAGTCTTCAGGGACTTCCTAAAGGCCAGCAGGATCTATGTTACATTTTTATTTTACATTCTTTAGATTTTTACAGGGACCCTCCCAAATCTATTATCAAGTCACACAATACATCTGAGTTCATAAACCGTACAGTTAAAATCATAGATATTCTGTTTAACAATATTAACTCTGCACAAAAAATTGGTGCAGAGTCACAAATCTTTAAGAGTGTTAAAAATCCTTACAAAAAGGATTTTTACAAAATGTTTCTCTCCAAAATGAGCAATTTTCATATAGTATTTATACTGATAGGTAATACCATTACATTTGTACAGTATGTTCAATTGTTTATAATACCACTCAGGTGCAAATAACAGATCTGAGCATGATGTTCATAGATTCAAATGGTGTTTAGATTGGAACCACTCAAATTCATACACCACAACTGTGTTGATCTACCAAATCATAGAGTTAATAGAACCCTACTTTTCACAGCACCAACATTGTGCAAAATTATAGATCAAGACCAAGACACTCATAGATCTTTATATTTCATAGGGGAATACACAATTTCAGGACAATCTATGTTCATGTCATGATTAATACAAATATTGCACTTGGAGTTTCATATGAACTGTAAGTTCTAGCCCATGATGCTGTGTTGATTGCCAGGATTCTCACTAGTGATTTCTTTCACAGCCAGTAGATATTAAATGTCAAATTTCTGATAAGATCTGAATCCACCATTTTCACAAGGAAAACTAAACCCCCTGTGAATCATTACGTTGCCATGTATATGAGCCAATGTACTTAGGAAAGCATATGATTTTTACATTTATAATTGTAGAACACTTCTCTTTCTAATGTTTCTGGCACTATCATTGAATAAACTATCATTTTGTGGCATGGATCAGAATAGATTCTCAGGTTTTGTTCAGCATAAAAAACAAATCACGAGTTCATATACTATATCCATATCTGTAATTACACTGATATATGTGTGTGTATGTGTGCGCTTGTATATTTTTTGCAAAAACTTGGTCCAAATGATATAGATCTTATAAATGTTTATAATGGATGCCATTATCTTTTGCCCAGTCTTGGATCATGTCTACACTTACAGGATTATAACATAAAAATCTTATATGTTACTCCAGAACACTAACACAACTGCGAAAAACTTTTAAAGTTTTCCAGCTAATGCTTTCCACCTAAATCATAGATCTTTTCCTTGAACATTGATTGAAATATCAAAATCATACATCGAGTGTTTCATGGCATGCACATGAGTCAAACATATGAATCTGAAGCACAAGTACTCATGGATCATTGTGATTCTTAAAGGAGATGATACTTCATTACAGTTGTACTTATCCCTAACAATGGTACTATTAAAGTAACAAATACAATAATGCTGATAGAATTGTTAGGGAACAAGATTAATGCACGGTTCTTCCAAAGAGAAGGGTGGTAAGTGCTAAAAGCCACTGTTTTTCTGTTGCAAGGTACAAGTGAAATTGCACTGAATGAATATATATCAGGAAACTACAGCTTTTTTGGTGTGTATCTGTTAACAGCATTGATCCCCACCTCATAATTGTAATACATACTGTACTTTTCTTTCAATATTTTGAAGCATTGTTATTTTCTACCCCATCTTTTCCTGAATCCTGATACCACAAATGTTGTTTAACACCTTCCTAGCTTGCTTGCATTTTTCCCCCTTGTATGCTTCTGTAACAAATGAACAAAATCATTTGAATGGCTCTTTGTACTACTCCATTATTTCATCTTGCCTGTAGTTTAAAACAGGTCATTCAACAAAGAGAGGCAGTATCACGGCTAGGTTTATTTATGAATAAACATGGATAGCATGATCTGTAAATTATATTAATCTGATAAACCCATTCCCAAATCCATCTCACAATAAATTTACCATACAGTCTAGCCATTTGCGTAATCTGCTTTAGTTAGATTCACAATCCAGGTTACTACATTGCATTTAACAATGGATAATTTCATTGTTTAGTAGTGATTTTTTTGAAATTAAGATGCAAGATAGTCTGTTTCTGCTTGTATCTGTAACCTGTTTGGAAACAAAAGGAAGTATTCAGGAAAAATGGATATGGACAATGTTTTCACTAATACAAAAGATTTCAGGCACAAGTACAGTACTAAGTCTTCCAAAATCTACTAAGTCATTTATAATGTACTTGTACTTACAATGCAGCCACAGAATGGAACAGACAAGAAATACCCTGAAAGTGGACAGCCAGCAGATGCAGATCAGCCATAATAATATACAGGTAGTCCTTGCTTAATTACCACAATGGGGACTGGAATTTCCGTCGCTAAGCGATGCAATCGTAAAGTGAATCATCATGTGACCACTTTGCTTAACAACCACAATCCTGGCACTCCCAGTTGCTGTCATTAACCGAGAATCGTGAGTCATTAAGCGGAGGGAGTCGCAGGTAAGGAGCATGGGGGTGCCGCAAGGGGGATGGGGGAAGCCCTGGGAGGCTGGTGCAGGCTGCGTGCAAGTTGGGGTGTGTGTGCTGCAGTATGGTGCAAAGCTGCAGCTGCCCCTAGAAACTTCAGCCAGCCCAGCCCAGCAGTGCTTACAACTGGCAGGGGTGCTGCAACCCCCTCCACCTACCTATCTCCCCCCCCCCATTTATGTCCTTATGGCCACCCTGCACAGCGGCACTCAGCGGCAGCACTGGCTCCCAGGCCTCTACTTCAGCCCCAGCACCACTGTTGCCACTGAGAAGTGCTGCCTCAGGCCGCACACCAAGGCCAGTCACCCTAGCACCATTGCACAAAGCCCCAGTTGCCCCCGCCACCCTGCACTCCACAGGCTCTGCCATGCCCAGCTGACCTTTGTTGTTTTCCTCCCACTGCTGACGCGCGCCCGACCTGACCCTACTATTTGCGAAGCAGCTGTGAGGCAGGCCCTAACCCTGAGGCTGCTCGCACCATTCTCCAAGCCGCTCATGCCATTCCTTCTCCAAATTGCACACCCCATTCTTGCAATCCTTCGGAAACTTTCTGGTCTTCCCCAGATCTTGCGAGAACCGGTGCACTGTTTGGAGAATGTCTTCTGAGTCGCTGAGAGAATGGGGCTCCTGCTGTTCTCTCTACTTCGGCCTCAGCCCCAGCACTGCCGCTGCTGAGTGCCATTGTGGAGGGCGGTCAAAAAAATCATAGATTGGGGGGGGGAGATAGGCGGGTGAGGGGAGTTGCAGGGCCCTCCCTGCATAAATGTGGGTGTGCTGCCAAGTAACCAAATTTTGATCACCTGACTGCGGGAGTGCTGCAAGAGCCATAACTTTGAGCATGGGTTGTAAATCCATTTTTTCAGCACTGTCATAATTTGGAATGGTCACTGAATGGTCATTAAGTGAGGACTACCTGTATACAGTGTGTGAACTTGCAGTCCTTGAGAGTTTTGTTCCTAAGTATACAGTACTTCCAATAAGTACTTGTATTTCTTGTAATGGGAGAAGGGGACGTTCTAACAGAGATTTAAAAAGACCAGCTGCTGGGTAACACAGTGCGAAAAAACAATCATTCTCCTGTCCAAGGCTTTGAGTTTCCTGGATATATCCGGTTGGCCGTGTGTGACATTGAATGCTATATTAGATAAACTCTTGACCTCATCCATTTTTGTTCTTAATTTTACCATATTAAGCAGGCATCAATTTCTATGTATACTGTATGTATGTTTTAAATTCAGTAATTCTATACAGTCCTGCACAGTCACATAAAGTTTTAATGTTATTTATGTCCTTGTTCTTAGGTAAAATGACTGTCACAGCCCCACTTGCAGGGAGAAATGTTCCTCTAATGTGTATTTCAGTTATAAATGTGCTTTGTACAGTGAACTTGGGACTATTCAAAAGCATCCTTGGGAATCAGTGCTTTCTGCACAAGTTTTTTAAAAATGGTGACACCTCAAAACAATAGACGTACTTTTTAAACTATTGACCTAGAAGGAACCTAAAACTATGGTTCAGATCTTTTAAAAATCTTTTTGTGTCAACGTGGTAGTGGTTCACATCATGGATACAGATGTGATTTATGAACTGACTTTTGTTTGTGGGGAATCTTGGGCTATTTGCCAAGGGTTTTAGGACTTACATGACTGTAATGAGCAGTTGTACCATTTACATGAAAAGGGCAATCTATGCTAGACAGGATAGAGGGTCTGAAGAAATATGCAGGCTAATGGTCTGTATATGACCGTTATGAAAAGCCCACAAAAACGAATGATTCCTGTACTTCATGGACCCATCCACATATATGGAAACCTGACATCATCCTTTAAAAATCCATGCAGTTAGTCTTATTTAAACGTGTATTTTGTCTTTCTGTTTATGTGCAATTCAGAGCAACCAACGAAGTTCCTCTGCCAAGTTTAAGATCACTTAGTCAAATAAAATACTCATTTTCGGGGTAACATCATAATGGCAAAACATGAACTATGATGGCTCATTGCGTAGAGTCAAATGTATTCTCTGAACTGATGGTGGTTTTATATGGCGGTATAAAAATAATGAAAAAGAGATTTTGTGGGTCAGATTCACGTTTTGGGCCCCAGTGAAGCCAAATATTGTCAGATCTCTGATTGTTAGGGTACCCTCGCCTTGGACGAATATGATTTATTATTAGATAGTGGCTTCATGTTGGTTCAGTTAAAGATCGGATGGAATCAAAAATATCCCTGTTCATTATCAAGATGCAGACATTTATTCTTTTTATTTGTATGCTAAACAATGAGTCCGGGAATTCAGGATGAATTAGAGTACTGGATGTGGGTTGAGCGGCAGCAATCCGAGCAATCTTCGCTGAGCCTTAACAGTTCTAAGGGCAGCTTTGGGCTGGTAAAAGAAATAATGAATTGTACAGGCAGGGTCATCAAGGAAAAAACCCTTTGCCAATCGCATCCAAGTAAAAACGCGCTTCAGAAAGTCAGCAGAGAAGGGGTAGGCTTGAAAGACAGAAAAACTGTATGTCAGAGTGTTTCTATTTCGCTTCCCTCCTTGTCCTAACTAAAGCCCACCTTTAAAAGACATCAAGAACCCACTACATGTCATGAACTATTCTTGTCGTTTCTATCTCTACGGTGAACAAGTCGTAAGAATGACGTAAGCAAACTGCGACATGGGGTCCGGCTGAACGTAAGGCGCGGATCTCTGATCCCAGCGGCGCGAGATGGCTATTTGATGCGGTTATTTATTTATTTTTAAAGACACTTTAAAGGAGCTGCCACCGTTTCGGGGAGGCGGACGCCATGACGGGCCGTAAATTCTCTAAAGAGAAGAAGCGACATCGCTCGCGTTTGTGCTGTCCAGAGGAGGGAGGCGGCAGCGACAGGAAACGGCGGAGCACTGACGCGGTCCGCGGCCCTCCGGAGGTATAATAGTCGGTCAGCCTTGGAAGGGGAGATTGGCTGAATTGCGCAGGCGCAGAATACTCTTTATGGAATCACGTGACAGAGAGGTGCAGCTTCAGTCTCACCCTTCGCGCTCCTGTTTTGGTGGGATAATCGCTGTCTCGTTCTTGCCTCCCTAAACTGTGGTATTAAGTAGTCCCCAGATTAAGAATGCCCAGTTTAAGTACGACCCACAGGACGGAGCCTATTGTAGCAAAATTCGAGTTATATACGCAAAGATTCGACTTAAATACGCGACAGTTCGATGTACATAAAATAATGGCTGGCAAACCGCAAAGAAAGCAGTAGTCACTGAAGAAAATCCATATCTTTGTTTAACCAAATCAGAGGTTGGGGACCCCAAACGTGGCCTTCCCTGCTCTGCAAATCAAGAGCTGCAGCTCACCACAGCACATGCCTTTTAATAACATTTGTTACTTGGAAAAAATGCTTCCAGACTCCTGATTTTCTACTACCCTAGACTGACTAACGGCTCTCCTAAGTGTCAGTGTGGGTGAGCCCAGAAGATTGGTTGATGGAGCAAATTATAGTTAACTGTGAGCAAATGTGCTCAGAGAAAGCCTCAGTTACCACAAACAGGCAAGCTGTTTTGCTCTCTGGAACTTAATAAGACAAAGTAGTGTTAGAAAGTGCTTATTAAGAAGCCAAACTAAAGCTATTTTAGAAGGGAAGTTAGTGCTTTTCTATTACACAGAAGCAAGAGTGTCACATACATAGATTAGAAAGGAATGTAAGGACAAATGTTATGCTCATAGCAACAGAGATAAAGTATGCTAATTAGAATTTGAGAAATTAGGCTATTCCTTATTAGGAAAATAAAACTTGAAAATCCTAGAACTAGATATGCGCAGACTAGCTGTTTACACCTGACTATAAAATGGCTTTGCACCCCTTGCAAGGGGCTCGCCACACTCAGTGCTAATGCTTTTGCCTTGCGTGTTAAATAAAACTTTTGAACTCTGAATTATGGCATCTGGTATTTTGATCTGAGCAAGGAACAAACAAAAGGGGATAAATTGTGAAAGCATAATCTCCCTGTGAATGTGTGGTAGTGGCTGTCTGATGTAACTGGTAGGGTCTGCATTACTTTCAGCTGTAAAGTGGAATTTGAGATTAGGACCCAAAGCCAGAAGTTAATATCTGGCAGAAGCAGTCCTGAAAGGGGAGTACAGAGCTGTCTCTGCAGAATATCCTACTGTATTACAGCAGTGGCTGGATACAGGATATCACTCCAATTTACTTTTTCTTTTTTGAGTGGTGGTCACTCTTGTAAACTAACCACTTGGTTGTGCTTATCTAATGTTTTAATTTTCTAAGAATGATTTTTCCTGTGTATGGTCAAAATGATACTAGAGGGAGCTGCTACTTAGATTTTCATCATGTTATCTTCCTCTTTATTTGTATTATGTTAATTAAAATGTATTATCATGTCCAGAAATATGATGGGAGAAGGATCTGTTGAAATGGTAATATTATGAGCCCTTATCTTCAACCAGAAATAATATAAACCTCTAGCAATCTCTTTCTGTGAAAACTTTACATCCTCCACATTCTATCTTAAGACTGGGAATTAATGTATTCATTAGTATGTATACATATCATGGTAGATTTATAGAAGTAAGATTAATGCACATCTCATGGGAAGCAAGTCCTAGTTTCATGTGTATTCACATGTAGTTTTAAGGTGTGTTAGCCTTTTTTATACGTTTGTGACAGTTTTGATTTTTGACCTTCTTACTTGGAAAGAGTGCCACTGAACATGGTATGACCTCTGAGTAATTACACGTAATTTGTGCTGTTACTTTATTAAAAAAAGGAATGAACATTTTTATGATGTATGTTAACATATATGACTAACTTTTTAATAAATTTAATTACAAAATCTAGACTACACTTTGGAATGATTGCAATCTTAATGATTATATTCTAAGGATCAATGAAAAATCATATTTTAAGGATCATAGCATTCCAAAGTAAGTTGTAAAACACATACATTGCTCCAGCTGACCTCATGATATCTATGGATCTCAGTACTGATATGTTGAAGAAAACCTCCTCTCCCTCTTTATCTGAGAACTTCCAGTGTTCTGTCCTACATTTCCTACTGCCCTTTTGCTGTTTTTGCATGGATGTACTGTTATTATTGTCTTGAGCTCAATGTGTTCAAACTCACCATATTTCCATGCTCCAGTTAAAATGCATGTATCCTTGGCTTTTCCTTTAGTGCCTTGCTTGCTTTGTACTGCATGTTCAGTCCTTTGCCAAATCATGATGCTTCTCCCTTTAAGAAGTTATAAATCTGTGACTTTGCTTTCTGATCTCTAGTAGCTGATCTTCTGATCTGCTTTTTATCCTGGTTATCTTTCAGTTTTATAATCTCCTCTAATCTTCCATTGCCTTATCTTTCTCTGCCAAGCATTTTTCTGCAGAAAATCTTTCATTTTGTTTATTTGATTATGTCATGTTCCTCCTTAATTTTTCCTCCCAGTTCTTATTTGTTCCAATATCTTGCCCAATTTTTCTTATTCCTTCAAGAATTTCATGACTTTGATATTCTTGAAACGTAGCTCTGATTTTTGTTACTCTCCCTCTGTCTCCTTAGATGTTCAAAAGTATCTTGTCTTCCTTAAATGATCCAATACTTTACCCTTCATTTATTTCTTAAAATGTATAAGTTATCCCTCAGAGTATGTGCAATAATACAACAAAACTATATATAAAAACATTATTGTTTCTGTTATTGCATTTTATTCTGCCAATTAGCCTTATTGAATGATAACCTTATTCTACTAGTCTTCCTTTCCAACATTAATTTGTAAACTCCTTTGCTGGCCTTATGATCTTTCAAATAATCATGTAAAATTGAGCAACTTAATGAACCATATTAAAATATTGTCACTGCATGGGTCATAACTTAGTGTCATGATTTTTAGACTGTACAGTAGTAGGAAGCTATTTTAGAAGCTTCATTGACTCAAACGGCAATCCTATATGAATTCACTTGTAAGTTGTATTGAACTCTATGAGACTGAATTGTCAGTTCTTCGTCATAGTTTATTTGCTGAGAATACTACACAAGCAAGTATTAATTGGTTCATGGTTATTTTTTTGTGTCATATTTTAGGAAACCAAGTGTATTGTTCAGGTTCCAGAAAAGAAAGATGTGGTAGAAGAGCCCAGTGACATAGAAGAAGGTGGACTAGATCTGACTGTGCAATTAAAGCCTGTCAGTTTCTATATTACAGACAAGAAGGAAATGCTTCAGCAATGCTTTTATATCATAGGGGAGAAGAAATTGCAGAAGATGTTGCCTGATGTTTTAAAGGTATTAAAGTATATCTATTAGAGCTGTGCAAATTCTTTAAACAAGGTGCTTCAGAACACACAGGAGCACATATGAAATACTTACTTTCAAATTATTAAAGCAGTTATGTTTTTATCCGTGAAGTGTAGTGGCTGTGCACACCCATGTCAAGAATAACTTCTGAAATAGCCGTATGAGCTTAGAAAAGATGCATCTTTTAAAATTGTTCTAAAAGAAGTGCTTCATATTTATGCTGTCATATTTAAGAGAAGTCTAAGTATATATAAGATACAGCAAGTGATCTGATAAAAAGTTTAAATAAAGTTTGATATTAAATGTAATATTTTAAATCTCTTACTATATGTTTTTAATATTACAATGATGACCATTTTTTAAAGTTACTATGTACTTTTTATTAGGGTTGAAAATGCATTTTAGATCATACATTTTCAAAAGAGTGCTATGCTTACATCCTATTGGCTGAAATTGTGCACAGAACTATGTTGCTTATATTCCATTGAAATCACAGTGCTTATAGGATTGCTGTCATCTTTCATTTGGAAAATATAAAGAAAAATAATAGAAATGAAATAGTATCAGTTTACTGTGAAGCTAGACTGCAAACCTGTGGGCCTGACGAGGCAGTCTATGGTCTGTAGGATATGATGGTTTTCATCCTCCAGTGATGGAGAGGGAGTCTTTGCCCTCTTTCTAGCTACATGCAGATCTCAACAGCAAACGCTCTCCAACTTCAGAGAGAGAAGAAAAGAGTCATTCTGAAGGTATGCCAAGAGAAACAATGCATCTCTTGATTCTTAAACATGTTTCCAACTTAGCACTTTATGAGCAGCAGGCCTAAATGTGGTATAAATTAGTTTATTTTCATAGAAATTATTGGGATAGAATATAGGCAAGTGTATGCATGTGTCAGGTGAGGTCATCCAAGAAAATAATCCCAGAAAAATGTACCTTCCTTCTCTGTTGGAATTTTTGGTGACATTGGAACTCCCTTGTGCTTTCCAATAGAATTGAGTTATAAAAAGAGATATGTTTTAGAATTTATCTTTTTCTTGAAAATAGCCTGCATATATAGCTTGGGCTATATTCCTATATGGTAATGTGACATGTTTCATTTGGCTGCTGCTGCTGCTGCTGCTGCTGCTAATCCTGCCCTTTTTTTAATACATTTTGGTCAACTCAAGGTGGTGAACATACCTAATACTCTTGCTTCCTATTTTCCCCATAATACCAACCCTGTGAGGGGGGTTGGGCTGATAAATCCAGCCATTGTGCTCTGTTAATCATGAATTATAGCTTAGTGTACTTAAGTATTTAAGCTATAGTTAAGCAAACAGCATTATTGTATTAATTTTTCTTGGTGTTAAGAAAGTGAAGGAAGCTCCTATGTCAAATTCTGTGCATGATTCTTTTAATCAGTCATAGCCATGACATAATCAGAGCAAGTTATAAATTTGCTACCTATATGATCATATAATAATTGTGTTTGTAGGACATTCTGGAAATAATGAATATCTATAGGCATCCATTTCATAATAAATATGGATAGTAAAATGTTCAGAATGAGAACTACAGTGCAATAAAAGCATCTTTACTTGATACCTAATATTTTAGGTATTTGGTTACCCAAATGTACATCCATTTTGTCAGCATTTCAGTGTATGGGCCTTTTTGAAATACTTTGAGTAAAATAACACGATTTAGTAAATCAGAACTTAAAGTGTAGAATGTAGGGTTTGCCATTTTGTTTCAAATCAGTTTTAAAGTTTTACTGTGTCTCTCCACTACCACCTGGAGAGATTCCCCTTAATTTTTTGCATTTTTCAAACAAGAAGTCATATTCAAAAAGTAAGTTTTTGCATTCTCTGCTTGGATGGCACTCGTTTTCTCAGTGGAAGTGGGGTGTGGCTTCACTTTATTTTCCCCCAAATTGTTCCTCAGCTGTGCACATTTTAGAAAAGGTTAAAAGAAAAGGTTTTACCTATTATGCATTTTGAAAGGAAAATTACTGTTTTCTATGTTATCTATTCTTTATTGCAGTACTACACTAACATTTTTTTAGTCTATAATTTTTATTAAAACTTTTAAACAAGAGGATAAAAAATTATACAAACTAATATAAAGTAAGGGAAAAAAAGAAAAAGAAATCAAAGAAAAAGCAAAAAGTGCAAGAAAAGAAAAAAGTTTAAGAAAAATAGAAAAGAAAGAAAGAAGATATAAAGAATGGCTTCCGATATTCTTATGAGTACAAATATAATTTAACCTCACTCTCTAAAGTTACATCATATTACTCTTCTTTCTATAATCTATCCTATTTAATCATCAAAACCATAAATCACAAGTTCATTTTTTTCATTTTTACGCAAAAAGTCTATAAGGGGCTTCCAGTCACCAATAAATGTAGTTAATGTCTTCTCTCTAATCAAAGAAATCAATTCAGCAAAATCTGTCAACTTCACCAACCATTCTTCCATAGTGGGTAGTGTTGAATCTTTCCATCTCTATGCCTATAGTAATCTTGCCGCAGTAGTCATGTATTGAAATAATCTTCCATGGCTTTTTTTCTAACTGTTTATCCATTAATTAATTTATCCATTAATCCTAAAAGGAAAAGTTCTGGCTTCAATTGAATATTGATCTTTAAAATCCTCTATAACAAAGTATGTATTTGAATCCAATTTTTTTTAGCTTTTTTACATGTCCACCAAGCATGATAAAATGTCCCTTCACGTTGTTCATATTTCCAACATACATTTGAAAGGCCTTTGTACATTCTAGATAATTTCTCTGGTGTCATGTACCAACAATACATCATTTTATAAAAATTCCTTTGAAATCATAAAAGAATGTAAATTTCAACCCTTTTAACCACATATTTTCCCATTGATCCATCTGTATATCATAATCAAAATTCTTAGCCTACTTTATCATATAGGTAGTCCTTGACTTACGACCACAATAGGGACCGGAAAATTTGTCGTTAAGCGGTGTGGTTGTTAAATGAGGCATCATGTGATTGCACCTGATTTTACAGCATTTTTTGTGGTGTTCATAAGTGAATCACTGTGGTCATTAAGTGAATTATGCAATTGTTAAGCAAATCACATGGTCATTAAGGGAATCCCACAGTTTCCCATTGATTTTGCTTGCCGGAAGCCAGCTGGGAAGATCACAAATGCTGATCATGTGATCCTGGGATGCTGCAACTGTTGTAAATACATGCTGGTAGCCAAGTGCCTGAATTTTGATCACATGACCGCTGGGATACTGCAATAGCCGTAAGTGCGAGGACAGTTGCAAGTCACTTTTTTCAGAGCTGTTGTATCTTCAAACGGTCACTAAATGAATGGTTGTAAGTCAAGGACTACCAGTACATTCTTTAACCTGTTCTTCCTCTGTTTCAAATTTCAACAAAAGTTTGTACATTTTAGC